TTGTATAATGTACAGCGTGTGGAATATAGTCAGTAATATTGTATTAATTTTGTGGAGTGACGGACGACAACCAGACTTATTGTGGCAACTGCTTCACAATGTTCACAAATGTCAAGTAACTATGGTGTGTGCCTGAAACGAATATACTATTGTACGTCAGTTATATCTCAAATTTCACTTTATCTTATTTTTAAGTATTCATTTATTTGTTTATTTATTTTGTGAGAGAGAGAGAGAGAGAGAGCGCACAGGTTGGGGAGGGGTAGAAAGAGAACAAGAGAGAAACCCAAGCAGGCTCCACCCTGTCAGTGCAGAGCCCGACACAGGGCTTGAACTCACGAACTGTGAGGTCATAACCTGAGCTGAAATCAAGAGTCAGATGCTTAACCGACTGAGCCACCCAGGTGCCCCTATATCTCAAATTTAAATAAAAAGATGACACCGTCCTTCTTTATTTGAAGGCAATAACTGTGTTATTAATTAGTGCTAGTAAAGTGATATCAAGTATGTGTATATTCTAGTACTTTGTCAAAAGAGAGTAAGAATACCATTAGAGTACTAACTGCTATCATGATAATCTCTTCTTTGTATAAGACCCTAATCATTTCTAGAGCCAATTATTTAAAATACATTTGAAAATGTGTTATCCCAAATGACTGCATTTTATCTTTTTTAATCTCCTTAAACCCTCAAACTACAACTAAAAAAAAATCTTAATTCAACAAATATCTCGATGATTTTTCAACCTAACTACCAATTTCCCTTTAATTCATATTACTAAATTTAATAATTCTGAAAAAATCCAGAGGGACTCCATTCTCTTTTGATATTTAAAATGACATTTGAAAATAAAAAAATAGAAACAATAAATGCCATCTAAATAAACTATAAATCCAAACATGTTACACTTAAACATCTCAATTCCACAAACCTTAAAGTCTTGATACAATGAGTTAAAAAACAAAACAAAAACACAAACACAAACAAAAAACCTTGGTTTCAAAAGTGTCATTACTTTAGTGCTGGTAAAAATACAGGACAACGCTAGCCTTTTCCCCAGCTTCCTTCCCCTTGTTTCCACTCTCTCTGGTCTATTTCCCTCACTAATCTGCATATTGCTTACATACCATTTGTTTAAGGAAGAGTTGTCGAAAAAGAAAAGAGCCTCACCCTGCCTGCTTGCCCATTTTGGTAAAGAAGCTTCATCGTATTTTCATGAAGATTCACATAGTCAAGATTCAACCGTTGGGAAAAGCAATACTTTCTACCCGTGAAATCAGCGAATGGGGTTAAGCTTCAATAAGGGTGTATTTATGTATTTTTCATTGCCAATAATTTTTTCCTTTTGCTCATTCAACAGCTCTTCTGATGTCTTGTTTTATGTAAAGGCAGAGATAGTTTGTAACAAGATGGGGGGAGGATTTGAGAGGGAATGAACACATTTCTATATACTGAAAGGCAACAGCCTATGTAGATCCTTGTATTAAATGGAGACCCGGATCATAAAAGTTAACATATACTATTTGATGATGTTCAGGAAATGTCAGGGTAAGGTGACAAAATTATTTTTTTTAAAAAATTATACAAAGTGCACAGGGATAAAGATTAAGTCTCCTTAACAAATCTTACTTGAAATGGGTAAACCAATTATTTTGGAGTATGCCATTGACTGCCATCAGGGCATAATGATGCTTTGCTCAACAATTAGCCACCCCGGAAGAAAGCAAATCCTAGTTTGATAAATTAGCACCAAATATACGAGCATAGAATCTACCAGAATCTTTAGATCATTGGTTGAGCAATTTCCTATACCTAGATCATTTACATTCCCATCTTTTTTTTTTTTTAACTCACAAGAGAAATTGAGCTTTAGAACTCACCAGTACATTACTTTAGAAATGATCTTTTTTTATGGAATGATCTATATTTTTGTATGGATTTATCTCCTAACTAACCTCGACTTCTCGTCTACTGATAGCTTCAGATGGCACAAAGCCAGGATACAGTTGTTTTAAGTGCTAACAGTACTCCATGCACCACTTCTCTCCACTTTAGGCAGCCACTCTTCTATAAATTACATCATGGATAAACTTAGCAATATCTATCAGGAATGGAAATGGGAGAAATCGTGTAACATCTCACCCTTTGACCAGGTTTATAATAGACTGCTTCTGCCTTCAGTCGAGATCGTGAAAAAACCCCACAAAAACTGGAAGGTATAAGCACACCGCTTTAACCAAGTCCTAAGTGCTCTGCGTGCGTCCCCTTTAGAAAGCAATGGCAAGCTTGGAAACACAGTTGGAAAGCCCAGCAAAGAAAATCAGGATTTACCTTATTTACCTTCATAGAGAACAAACCGGAACCAGCTCAAGACTAAACCAACACACATGAGTATATCCTCAAAAGAGAAAAGCAGCCCAGTGTATTGAAAAGGCGTTATCAGTTATTTCCCACCAGTTGTCAGACTTAGACTGGGCTCTGCAATTCAAATTGTGCCTTGGAACAGCTGGATGCTACTCTGAAAAGCTGTCTATTAGAAACGTGATTGCCACTTTTCTCTACTATTTTTCCTCATCAGTATTGGTGGGCGTGAGGATCTATGACCAAAGATGAGGACAGCAGGACAGAGACCAATTTTGCCCAAGGTGAAGGCAGAATGGCGAGAGAGACTTACCTGCTTTCACTCAATGGATGCTGAAATGGAACTCGGGTGATAATAAGTCCTCCCCTCTTGCACAGTTTCCTCCTTGTTTCCTATGCCTGCAACCTTGGAAATGTAGCTGCCCTGTTCACATCCTGGCTTAAAGATACAGTTACCGCATCTCACCTCACTAGCACACTTACTTCCCTTTCCTGGAGCTCACTGGCTCTTTTTTTGGAAGAGTCTGTCAGGTCTGGATCAAGAGTAATTTATTTCTCTACCTCTGTGGTCTCAGGACCTCTAGACAGGATTTGGTTAACTGGTATCTTGCTGACAGGGTGCTCCTACAGTCTTTCTGTCATCGAAGCCCCATTCAAAGTGAAGAGGAGAGTGACAGGGTAAGAAATGAATGGATGCTTTTGAAACCAAAGGGACTTGGTTGAAACTAGGCAACTCTCATCAAAGACTGATCCAGGGTGTGTGAGTGTGTGTGTGTGTGTGTGTGTGTGTGCGCGCGCGCGCACCCCCGCATACCCCCTTTCTCCCCGAGGACAGGGTCATTCTCCATTCTTCGTTCAGCTTGCATCTTTTGCTGTTTTAGTGCTCTTGATTTTGAATAGTTACTCTGATGCACCGCCATGCGTGAAATGGATGATTTGCAAGCTTCTCTGTCCCACGCAATTCTGTGGATAATCAGATATCCAGATTCTGCACGGGCAAGAGAATCGTTCCTTTATAGAAAGTGATTGCTCCTGCCACCAGAGGAGCTGATAGTGTTCCCGGGGCAGCCAACTGGGAGGTGGGAACCTGGCTTCTGTGCTCTGGCCTTGGTGCTGAATTCGGAACCTGCTGCCGGAACCATCTCCGTGGCCTCTGGGCAACTTTGGGAGGTTTGAGAGGGTGCCGGCCAGTTCTGGCAGCCCCCTCACGGGTCGCCGGCAGGAATTTGGGCACAGCCGATTCCCTGGGACCCTCCAGAGGGTACGCGGCTGGCTTATTTCTTAGCCTGAAGCGGGGAAAGTTTTGTCCAACGCATTTTTGTAACTGGAGCTGCCTTCTCCCCTCCCACCTGGGTCGCCATGGAGACTCAGCTCTTTCTTTCTCCAGGCAAAATGGGCGAAGCTTAGTTAGCAGTGCCCTGACTATAGCAAGCCCATTTTTCTTTCTAATCAGCTCCTGGGCATCCCCTTCCTCTTTTCAGCAGAAGAAAGGTAGGGCAGGGTGAGGAGCTAGTAAGGATGTGGCATTGCACCCTGCATGGTGGGGGCTGCCTGGTACCTTCAGACTTTGGATAAAGGCAAGCAGGAGGCACTCTATAAACATATAATGAATCTCCAACTCCCAAACACTGGAGTTTTCTCTCTCTCTCTCTCTCTCTTCCTTTTTTGGGAGTGGAGGCGGGATTCTTTGGAAAATTCTGGTATTTTGTTTCTCCATTAACCTCACCCCATTTCTGTGGCTGTTTCTATTAAGACACGTTTCCTCCTTAAAAGTCTCTCCATATTGAGGCTGGTACAAGAGATATACCTGTGGATCGACCCAAGGTTTTATTGGGTTTGGGGAATACTAATGTTATTTCTGTTAAAAACTAATTCAAGCTTAATGTCTTGATGCAAATGAAAATCTACCCAGGAGGAAGCAAGTCAGGGGATTTGTCCAATCCCTAAATGCCATAAACATCTCATTTTATCTGAAGGGCTTTGCTCTCTTTCTTTTTTTCTTTTCTTCCAATTACAAAACAATTCAGTTCACTTCTAGGGAGAAGTGTTTGTAGCCATCATAGCATACATTCCTGGTTTTACTGAGAGAGAACAGTTAGGACTTATTGTTTCCCATTCTCTGCCTGTTTCTCCCCACCCCTCACTTTTCCTTTTCTTCCTTCTCATGTTCTCTGTCTCCGCCTCTGTCTCTCCCTTCTATGCAAAAACGAACACGGATACAGCTTTCCATAAAGACAATGGGCTTTTCCCAACTGGAAATGACTACACCGCAAGCCGCCCCTGCCAGTTAATCAGTGCATTTCTTCTTTGCCAATGGATGTTGAAATGATGTCTGCAATAACTGACTGGGTTTCTCTGAGCCCAGGGCATGCAGACCCCTCCTCTCCCCGCCCGCCCCCCCCCCCCTTGCGAGTTTTCAGTTGCTAATGAAAACCATATGAAACAGATTTCCCTTCTGTTATGTAACCGGCTTCTCCCTCGCCTTTCCCTTGACTTGGGCATCATGTTTCTCTCATCAGCGTGGAGCATGCAGCGGCGGCGGAGCCTGGGGAGGGGGAGGTGGGGACCCGAGGGCACGGAACGTTTTGCCCAGACTGATGCCAGCTTCTCGCCTTCGAGCAACTCAGCGCACCGCTTACCTTGTTGCGGACAGGGTGGTTTCACTCAATCATGATCTCCTCTCTTGGAACGGAGCAAGATTTAATATTTCACTACACGATGGATGGTGAGGGGAGAAAATTTAAAAAAAAGAAAAAAGAAAAAAAAAAAAAAAAAGAAAAGGAAAGGAAAGAAAAACTGGAATCAGGTGGTCAAATTTCACACCAGCCCCGGGAGGCTATCAGGAGACTCCATTCTCCTGGCGGTGCCTCCAGCTCTGGGTCTGGCTTCCCGGTTCCCGCGGATCCCCACCCCTCCACCCGCCCAACCTCTCCGGCCAGGTGCGGCCGTCTGCAAACTGGCTCCCTCTGGCCGCGAGCGGAGAGGAGGGCTGGGCGCGGGGTCAAAGGAGGGGCGGAGGGGCGGAGGGGTGTGCGTCGGGTTCGGACGCGGGCGGGAGACCCGGCGGAGGGAACGGGGAAAAGGCAAGAGTGGCGGAAAAAAAAAAAAAAAAATTCCCGGCTGGGAGAAAAGTGATGGGCCACGCAGGGAGACGTCATGAAAGCCGCAGATTCAATGATCGCTCCTCAATTCCAGCGGACTGGCTGAGCCCCGCTGGCCGCGCACGAACCGGCGCGGCTGCGGGGATAAAAACTAGCGCAGCGCCGCGTGCTGGAGAAAAGCGGCCACACAGTGCGTCCCGGAGAGGCAGGGGGTGGGGACGCGGAGGGGAGGAGCGGGAGGCCGGGAGACGCCCACCCGCCTCCCACACCCCTCCCTGGGTGGGGGTGGGGGGTGGGGGACACTCCGTCGACCCCTTCCCAAGCCAGAGCCGGCGCGGAAGCCACCGAACCAACCCTCCCCCCCCCCGCCACTCCAAGATGAAGCTGCAAAAGTGGGGGCGCTCCACGCTGGGGGAACCTTTTGGGTTCAGCCTCCGGTTCCCACCTTCCCTGCTATGTCACCGAGTAAGTTATTCCTGGAGAAGAGCCTGGACAGCAGCAAAAAGCCGAAGCTCGGGGATCAGTTTTTGTCTGCTGCTTGGAGGGGCTCCGTGTTTTGGGTTTTGTGAAAGCGGGAGGAAGAGGGGCTTGTCTCGCTCTGGGCTGAAATCAAGGAGTCCGCCTGGGCGCAGGAGCTGGGCGCGCACTGCCCGCGTGGCCAGGAGGGGGCGCCGCGAGCGACTGGGGTTGGGGGCGGGGTGGGGGGGGTGGGGGGACGGCCGAGTGGAACCCAGTGGAAGCCCCGCCCGCTGCTTCCTTCAGTCCGTCCTGTCCACAGCAGCTGGGGTCGCTGCTGTTGTCCCATCCTACCCCACCCTGAGGTCTCTTCACAGGCACTGGAGACAAAGAAAGGGACCGTGACCTTTCTCATGCATACCTCGGCTCCCCTTCCAAGTTGATTTTGTCAGGATTTGGACTATTGCCTACTCGATCCCGTCCTTTGATTTCTAACTTGCTTTGTATGGTTATTCCAGGGGCCGCCTCACAATGCTCCCCTCTGCAGCCCTTCTTTTTCTTATGGTCACCGTCAACAATATTTCCCCGTTTCCAAAGCCGTTCCACAGCTTGCTGCGACCTCTGCGCAGTCCACTCTTTTATGCCCTCTTTCCCCTAGGGATACATCGATTGGCCACTAAATTTTAAGAGCAATGACGACCATTCGCTGGTAATTGTGTCATGACTGTTTCATAACTGGCTGTTCTTTTGCAACTTTACAAAGCGGGTTTCCTTTCACAAGGCGTGGAATTTCTATCTCCAAGGGGACGACCCTATTCCAGAAAAAAGGGTTGATGGAGACCTCTTGTTTCCAAGACCGTTTTATTCCACATTTATGCATTCTAATTACACAGCAGTTCAGCTCTTCAAGAATGCTGTCTGCTGTCTAAAAATGACTGGTGTGGAGAGGTGTTTGCCTTAAGTTGCATCAACAGTTATATACAAATCAACCGGGTGGCCTGTGAGCTCCTCTTTGCTGCTGATTTTCCCTGAGAGGTTATCATCTCACTGGCTTTCCCTTGGGGTCACAAATTCTGCATACGGAAGATATTAGTATGGGTAATACGGGATTTTTATGCTCCACAGGGCTTCCCGGATCTAGTCCTTGTGTTAGAGATAAAGATAGACAAAAGACAAGTAGACTCAACAGTCCCTGAGGAATCCTTGAGCAAGTCTGCAAGATGCAGGGTTTCGGGGGACACAGCCTTAGAGCCTTAAAAGAACAACTCACGCTGACTGTAGTTGCCTACAGAGCATTCTTTGTCGTCTGTGAAGGCGCTCTGGATGTGCCCGCTAATTTTGACTGCACGTATTTCTGCCAGTTGAAGGATTTCCCAACATTTATTCCTTACAAGACATCAGACTAAGTAGGTGAGTCAAGAGAGGGCAATAACCCGCTTTTCTCCTTTGAACGTTTGGAAAACTCCCCTGGCTTGACATTGGCCAGAGTGCTGGGGGCTACAGCTCCTTCTGAACGGTGCAGTGGCTTGTGTGGAATGAAGCGGATCACATTAGCACGGCATGGGATTTGACCAAAGCCAGAGACAGCAATTGGGTTTACTAGATTCGTTTATTCCTGAGAGATCTCAGGTGGTGATCGTCACCGCCGTAACGAAGTTGAGTCTCCGTGGCATCTGAAAATCCGGCAACCTGTGCTTTGCCGCTCCTCTGAGCTTACGAGAGACCTGTCTGTCGGGACACGATGCGTTCAGCGTGTCTGGAATCTTCCTTACGTACCTATTTTACGATTTCAGATGAGGCCAAGGCCTCGGGTGGAGGGGTGGGGTGGCTGCCCCTGGGGACTTCCAAGTCTGTAGCTCTTCCCTCCTCTGGGGGGGGTCAGGACTCCAAAGATGACGAAGACAGTGGCTTCTAGTGATGGATTGATTCTTCTGTGTGGACAAGGCTGGGTTCTCCCCCACACATCAAACTGTAACGGAGGCTTATTAGCTAGGAGGATTGAGAAACTGAATTATCCCGACTGGGTGTCATTTGCTGTGTGTAATCTCATTTTTCTCCATCATCGATGGTGGCAATTTACGACCCAATCTATCTCCCTCCCCGCTGTGTAGATCTGGCCTCAGCTTTGGACAGGCCGACACCAGAACTGTGGTGGGTGGCAGTTTCCGGCCTCCGTCTCATCTTGCTTTGTCTTATGTCTGTCTGCTTGTCCGATATTTAAGCCTTTACAGCTGCTGACGGTACCGTTTCTCTTCGTTTCGCTTCCCCACCCACCTCTCCCCCTCCCCCCTGCAAAACCCCAACACTAAAAGCATCTTTAAAGTGCAGAGGTGGGTGTATAATTTTTAAATAACTTATTTTAACTATCATAGAGCATTTGAAAGAGTCTCAAGGAAGAAATTTAAGAATTATTCCATTCTGCTGCTCTGCTTCCAGTGGACTGAATGGATTCCGTCCATGTTTCGTATTGAGGGAATATCCAGGAAGAGCTATTGTATTTCCATTTTGGATTTGGATGGTAAATTTTGAGACATTTTGTTGTCGTTGTTGCTTGTGTTTTGTTTTGTTTCTGGACATACCTTAAAAAAATTTTTTTTTAATGTTTATTTGTATTTGAGAGAGACAGAGAGCAACTGGGGAGGGGCAGAGAGAGAGGGAGACACGGAATCCAAAGCGGGCTCCGGGCTCTGAGCTGTCAGCACAGCTCAACGCGGGGCTTGAACTCATGAGCTATGAGATGGAGACCTGAGCTGAAGTCGGACGCTTAACCGACTGAGCCATCCAGACACCCCTAAATTCTTTCTTTTTAAAAAAAATGTTTATTTATTTATTTTGAGAGAGGGCGAGGGAGTGTGAGAGAGGCAGAGAGAGAAGGACAGAGAGAATCCCAAGCAGGCTCCACATTGTCAGCACAGAGCCCGATGCAAGGCTCAAACCGAGGAACTGTGAGATCCTGACCTGAGCCCAAATCAAGAGTCGAATGCTTAACCGACTGATCCACCCAGGAGCCCTGATAAACTCTTTCTTATAGAATGTTTTATTAGTTCATCATTTGGTAGGCATCATGCCTCTCAATCACAGTGTCCCCCAAGAAACTCATCAAGATGCAATTTTCAAAAGTCATAATAGCTTCAGATACAATATTTCAGAAGACAATGAGAAGCGATGTTTACAACAAAATTGCATAAATTAGTCTTCCTGTACCTCTTACTGGAAATAATTTTAGTAACCGTGAAATCTGTGCAACACAAACACTGAGGGCCAAAATAAAGGACCTGAGTTTGTAAGACACTCTTTGCGTAGTTAACAACGTGCTAAGATGCCCGGATTCTGTGGTTCAGGTTTTTGTTTTTGTTTTAACTGACACTCTTAGCCAAGAGGCTATGAGTTGGAGAGGACGAGGTCAAGTTCGTTGTTTTGTATGCTGTCACAACGGTCTGTGTGTCACCGCCTGTGGTCACAATGGGCACCAAGCAGACAGACCTTGTTTGTCTTCAGTAGAGGTGGAGCTCCAGCCAGCATTCACAGGCTTCCGTGGCTGTCCCAACAGGGCCTTCCCAGCCTTCTTTCTTGGAGACACATCCCAGAGTCCAGTTCCAAATTCCAGATCAGCCTTGGTGGTCTTAAGCGAGACTCATATATTTAAGCAGTCTTGGCCCCAAGGGTCCATGGCACTTGGTCCGTGGCAAGTGATGGATTTAGCGAGGGGTTTCTTGCTCTATCGTTTTATCTGTAAAATGGTGTTGCTGGTGGGTTCTTTGGGAAGCAGACTCTGAAATGGGTGCTTTTAGGGATGTGTCTCAGGGATCAACACGTAGGGAAGATGAGGTAAGGAAGTGTGAGTGAGCAGCAGGGCGGACATCATCTTGGCCCATCCCACAGGAAGTTCCGAAGATAAACTAAACCATTAGAGTCGTCCTGTATTAAGCCAAGTGTGCCCCCACAGGATTGGTCCCTGGTAGGAGCCGTCTGGGAAGGCATGGCTGTGGGAAAGGAGGCTTTAGGTACTCTGCATCTGATGGCTAAAAAGAGCTTTCTAGCAGTTAGTCGGTAAGCCCTCTCCTGAAGGAGGATCTTAGTGACACAGTTCCATATCTGCCAAAAATGGGGATAATAGCATTACCTATTGAATAGGGTTCTTGTGACGATTATACGACATATGTGACATAATTCATATAAGAGGTCGAGCCCGCAGTCTGCCATAGAGTCGCGGCTTAATAAATGTCAGCTCTTTATTGACGGCTGATGCTTGTCATTTTTATGATTACACAAACTCAGGATTGTGTGTTTTCAAGTACCTCCAGATTTGTATCCACACAGGTTTAAGTCCCTCTTCAAGCACCAGAAAAATACTGAGAAGGCTTCGTATTGTCTCCGATTAGCTAAGCCCAATCAGTCCCTGAGTCCTTTCATCCCTACTGCACCACTTCCTGGAAGAGGAGGAGCCCAAGACTCTGGCATCGACTGCTTCTCCTTCCGTCTGAAAGGGAAGGGGTCTAGACAGGAGTAAGTGTTCGGTATATGTTACATAATCCTCTAATTACACAAGGAAGTTTGGCTCTCACTTTGTGGGAAACGGTGGTAAGAATTATCTTTTTGTACGCCCATAGGAAACCCTGGTAGCCACAGATCATGGCTTGCTTTTCCTTGCACTGTCATTCTCAACACC